AAAAAGGCCCTTCAGCAGATCATCAACTACCATCTAAATATTCTAATCTAATTTTCCAGCACTTGGCCCATAACCTTGTACGTTGACATTGCAAGTGTACATTTAACATGCACCATATCTGGCAGCTAAGGAATGTAGCTCTCTTCTGCCCTGTTTAGTATACAGTTATGAAAGTTTCACCTGCTTTGGATGGTATCTTTAAATGCCACGTCTGACTGAGAACTCAACCAAGTCCTGAGGTGAGCAGGAATCTTCTTCTAGCCAGATTTTGTGGAATTTATCATGCTATTTATGGTTAAAATAAGGATGATAACATTGAACTTAAGATTGGCTATGTTATCGTTTTGACCTATGTAGATTACGTAAAATGTAGTAAACTGCAAGATTTGTCTTATGTTAAGGCTGTCAACTCTCTATGAATAGCCTGGAGTCTTCAGGAGTTGTAGATAAATCTCCAGGACATTCTTTATGAAACGCTAGAGAGCAAGGGTATTCACAGACATTTTCTTACAATTTTCTTTCAACATTTCTCTTTATCACATATAAAAACATTGAAAATTTGTGATGGGGAAGCTGTAAATCTGAGAGTCAAGCATCATCCTGTTGGGTAAATGAGTCTTTTTGCTCGCCAACTCCTGTAGAAAGGCAGTGTATCACAAGGATGGGTCCATTGGCTAACTCATGGCAGGACCAGTTAATGTGATGAAATCTCCAAGAGTGCATTTAATTGCAGTTGGAACCTTAGCTAATATACACTTTTGCAGCAGACACTCAAGCAATGATAAGAGTTTTAAAATAAATGCAATGGCCCTGATTCAACTGTGGACCAGTTTTCAGCATGTGAGATTTGGGGCAAATTCCCATTTTTTAAAGGTGTGGGGGGGTGTGTTATGTGGTGACATACATCACCCACCTGCCAATCAGCTCATTAAGACTGATAGGCAGAGCATAGGAGTGTTTCTTGGTGAATCACAGACCTCAGCACTGGTGTGATGGGTCACCACGACCTGTTGACCAATCAGAGGCGGGCAGCATGTGGGTCCTAAAGACCATGATTGAGGACTTGGGGGATCCAGTGGTGAGAAGATAAATACTTTTGCTTCTCTTATTGTGGGGTGTGGTTGTGAAGAAGCAGTATTGGGAGCCCTTCCCCATCCTGGCAGCCAGATTGCCTTGATTTGCCAGTCAGGAAAGTGGTGAGTTAAGACCATAAGGTGGATATTATTTAACTATCGAAGGGCCTTAATTGGTGACAGGGTCAGAAGGGGAATTAATAGGGTGAGTTGATCATCTCTCATCATGTATAGGGAAAGAAGTATCATGGCTTTCGTGTTGTTGCAATAATTACCTCCAGCAGAAAAAAAGGGCCTGAGAATTTTTATCTCCTGGTAATCATTTTGTATGTTGCTGAGAGCTTTCTAGGTCCAACCTCTAACATATTCTGTGCTAAGACCTGATAGATGGTGGGATCAACCATCAGGCTGAGCTGTGTTAGGCCTCTTTGGGAGGTATTTGTGAGATTGCACAATGGATGACCTAAAAATCCAACTGCAACTTAAAATAATACCATTTCCGTTCTGAGGCCTGTCTGGATGTAAAATTACTCTTTGAGGTTTACTATTTTTGTGGACCTGTTATTTCACTTAGCCTTTCAGGAAACTCAGCACCATTTCTTGCTCTGCTCTTTGAGTAAAGACTGCAATTAGGAACCAACCTGCACGTATTGAAATAGACTGAATGAACATTCATCCTTGTTGTCTGCTTGGTGGACAAGGTTAAAACATTTCATCTCCGTCAGCTTAAACATAAGTTTGTGACCTGAGTAATTTTAAATGCTGGATAAAAATCACAGATAAAATTAAATTTTCCTGCAATAAGTTTGTGACTGACTGAAATTGAAAAATGTGAAATCATTAAAAATTGTATACATTTGATTGAAGCTGGCAGTTGTTCTGTGCCTTTGCCAAAGTATGATGACTAAAATAATTTTAGTGCATAAAACAGGACAGAACAGGAACGGACCTACTTTGTCTGTGTTGACCAAGAAGCCGTTCTGAACAAATCTCATCTGCCTTGTTTTTAGCTAGAAGATGGAAATTGCCAAGTCAAGCAACAAACTACTCATTTGCTGAGATTAAGATTATTTTTTCACACTTAGTCCAGATGAGACACTCAGTAATGAACAGCATTGTGTGTGTATCTCCAGAAGTACATAAGGAGTTTGTATTGAGACCCAAATGGTTGAGATTCGTTGTGCAGGGCCCTTGGTTTACCCTGAACCTGTTCGGTAAGGATCACTTTCACCATAGTAGTTCAAAGCCTGCCATTTGATAGATGGAGTTTGTACCAAGGAACATGTTAATGACTTCTTGTGTTTCCCACTCCTTGATCCAAAGGATGTCTGCTGGTAGAACTTGCTCAAGAAGGTTGCTCCATTTAGGTCTCTAAGGTGGAAGATGAGCAGTAAGTCGACTGAGCATGTCATTATGACATGGTAAATGAAGTGAATTCAAATAGTTTCAAGCAGCTTGTGGGTTTTTCTCAGTCGGCAGATGTGTGATGTTTGCTCAGAAGCTGGGGCTGGGGGTGTTGAGCAGCAGGTTCCTGTTACGATGTGTAGAGTTACACTCAATTGGCTGACAGCAAGATGTGCATGTATGATAAATCTTTGCCAACCAGGTGCCCAGTTGTGGGGTTCGGTTAGCTCAGTTGGCTTGTTACCTGGTTTGTGATACAAAATGACACCAACAACATATGTTCAATTTCTGTGCTACTTGAAGTTACCATGAAAGTCCTGCCTTCTCAACCTCACTTATTGGCTGAGGCATGGTAACCGTCAGGTAAACTCATCACCAGTCATGTTCCCCTAGTGAGAGGGCAGCACTTTGGACCTCTGGGACTATGGTGACTTTGCCTTATTCTACTGAGGAGTAAGATAGGACATGTGCTGATATCTGCACTGTTGGCAGCATGTTGGTTGCAGTGAATGTATAGGAAGTAATTGTGTTTCTTGTGTTATGAAAGTTATATAACATATATACAATAATATCAGTTTTGGAGTTGGGACTTCAAAATATTTGCAGGTCGATGTTGATTGAAGCTTTTTTTCTTACACAAAATGTTCAAAGTGTTCTTTTAGGACGGTGATTGAATCCGGCATTTTGTTAGCGAGCAGGTGACAGTTAACCCCTGTGGTGTTATTTGAAAGATGTTTATACTTTGTGTTTGTAATAGTACAGAGCTGTGTTTACTCTCCCTAAGTTCAGAAGATCTAAAGTCGGCAAGATTTACTTTTTAAAAATTCAGTTCAGAAGACCAATGTTGAGTTTCAAAGCTGATTTAGTTTCTCACCTAGTTCAGGGAATAAGTCATTTAAGTAGAAGGTTTAGCATGTAAAATTTGCAAACCAGGAGAGTTTGCATAGAACTCCACAGGTCATTGGAACTGAGAAAGTTTAGGCTCTCAATTCGGCAGGTCTCGCTGAAAGGTCTTCACAGTCCATGACAAGCAAACTATCAGCCATCAGGAAAGTCTCGCCTTTCCACTGATGCTGAGTAACTGTAGCTAAAGTGGCGGAATGCATGTCCAACAGCACCGAGCATTCTGCTGGTCTTGGCTTTCCATGGCAGCCACCACCCTGTCTATGGAGGCAGTTAGAAGTAAGCACGTTGGAGACAGCTCAGTACTCCTAACATTGTTTGCTTTGACGTGGAGATCTCAATGTCCCTACAAGAACAGTCATAGAGAGCTCCTGCATTTGGAGGATCTTCTCATATAGTATGGTTGCTCTTGTCCTTTCTTTATCCTCTTTTCATTTTCTGCTTTCCTCATGTATTTTCTTGTTTTCTGCCTGAGTTCCTTTCAACTTTACTTATTTGTTTTTCTCGTTATGTCTTTTGCTTTTTACAGGTATAAAGTGGAGATAATAACTGAAAGGTTGAATTCAGTGGTCAGAATCACCAGTAATGCTGTAGGATGCATTTGGGGTGTATGATGTAGGCAACATTTGGCTCTCAGTGGCTGTATTCTCATTCCATGTTCATTCACCTTCCACCTACACCTTTGTTTTCTTCCAGCTCCTCATTCCCTTTACTGTCCCTATCTCCTTTGTTTAAATTTGCTTCGCTGTCATATAGCTCTCCTTTAATCACCACCTTCATACCCACACCCACACTCTTTCACCACCCCCACCAAACAGATCATGAAAGGCTGCAACCTTCTTTGTTCCTCCCTTTCCCTGTGTATTCCTCCTCCTCTTCTTTTACCCTCAAAGATGTTTTCTTTACTTTCAAAATTCAAATTGATTAAACAAAGAGTATAGGATAAGAAAACTTTCCCGACCTACTTGAATCACTCAAAATAATTTTGATTTCATTAGAGCTTTTGAAATCTGCTCTTCATCTTTTTTAAATTGTTTGAAAAAAAGGTCTTGATCACAGCAATGGAAACTGAAGAGAAATATCTGATTAATTCATCTTATGGAAAGGAACTCCTATATCCTGGGCAATTAGGTATACTATACATGCTCAGACTCCATAATTTAAAATTTAGCTCAGGGTCACCACTCAGAGCAAACTATCCAAATCTCGCCTGTTGGCAGAGAATGTACCTTTTGAGTAAAATTTTGAATAAAGGCATTAAAGTACGTTAGAGCTACTTGAATATGTAAATTTAGATAGACTTTTTTTCAAAACAGAATTGTCTGAATTGTGGATTTCAATCTCTGAGAAAAAAGAAATACAAGGGAAAACATATTTACACAATGATTTATGGGAGTCTAGAGCCTTGATTGTTTGATAGGCTAATGTCAAACCCCACAACAGATGTGAACATAGGAATATAAAAAGTTGATATAACATGTGACCACAGCAAATGAGTAATGTAAAAAGAGTAAGTCTGTGTATGTGCGCTCAGAATTTTACCAAATTATAAATATGTGTTCAAACTATTTTGTGTTGGTGACCTGCTAACAAACCTTTTTCTAACTTATTGTCTTACAGTTGCTGTTCTACTGAAGGATGATTATTTTGTCAGTGGAGCTGATCTTCCAGGCAGGCTTAAAGCAGAAAAACTAGAATTTCACTGGGGTCAGAATAGAGGTTTTCCAGGTTCGGAGCACAGTCTTGATGGAAAAAGATATCCTGTTGAGGTGAGAAAGGCATCAAGTTGGTGAAATGTTATTTTGCCTAGAATAAAAATATGCCTGTTTTACTACTGCTGTATGTTGGCTTGGTTTACTCATGAATTAATTGGAACTTGATTTATATCACAGGTCAGTATTTACATTTATCTTCCATTTTGTTATTCTTTATTTTCTTTATTTTGTTTATTGTAGTAATAGCAGTGAAGCCTGTTTTTTTTGCCCAAATCTCCAGTATATGCTTTTTTTCCCAGGTGGCCATTGATATGGAAGCAGCACAAATCCTCATTTCAAAGGCAAATTCATAACATTGCTTGCAATACATGAAATGAAAAAGCAGATTGCTACGTCCTTGCTTGGTTTAGATTTTACTGAAAAATTTGTGAAGGAAATGTTATTTTAGGTATCAAAATATACTTTTAATATTGTGCTAAATGACCTAGTTGGAGGATTGCATTCTTAAAGCATATTGCTGTTCAGAAACAGGTACCATTTGCCTGTTGTTGTTCCTACATGCCAAAGTTGAGTACAATTACTTTTAAAAAGGAGGTTATTTTTCTTCTATACCAATTATTTTCTAATCAACCTGTTCAGATTGTTATTACCCACCTTTGGAGCAGGTGGGACTTGAACCCGGGCCTCCCAGTCCAGATAAGGTACACCATCACTGTGCCACAAGACAGCCCCACCACAATGTTTCTTAATTCCAGCTTCAGCAGACCACCTAAGAATAGTAACAAGGTGAATCTTCTTTATTTTCATGTCTGCCATTCTTCTATCTCCTTTCACTGAGATTGCAATTAATATTCCTATATTAACTATTGTACTGTAGCGTGGCATCCATTGGGAACTGGATTAGCTCAGGCCAATTGATTCAGGTAAAATAGAGCTATTACATCTTGGTCCCAAATAAAGAAAGGCTTGCATTAAAGAGCAATTTTCACAACCATTGGATGTCTGAAAGTACTTTACAAGTAATAAAGTACTTTTGAAGAGCAACCACTGTTACAACATAGAAAACATAGCAGCCAATTTGCTCACAACAAGGTGCCACAAACTGCAATGTGGTAATGACCAGATATTCTGTTCATTCCAAGTTCGATTGAGGGCTGAATATCGAGCAGGCCACATGAGATATCTCCTCTGCTCTTCTATAAAATCATGTCTTGCAATCTTATACATGCACCCAGGCCTGATGGGTCTTAGCGTAACCTCTCATCTGAAGCTTGGTACCTCCTACAGTGAAGCACTCTGTCACTACTACAGCAGAGTGTCAGCCTTAATATTTTTGCTCAAACCCATGAACTTGGTACCGTTAGACTCAGACCTGATAGTGCCATTAACTGAGCTGCAGCTAATACTTCAAGAATGAACCAATGGTTATTTAACTCATTGAACCAATTGTTACAACTGGTCTATTTGATACAAATTTATATATCTAGTTATACAATGACAAGACATCCTAATACAGATATTGATGTGCTTACATCTGTTGTTTTGGTGCTAAGACACTTTCTCAACTGTTATAGTGAGCAGTTTATGACATAACTCATTGGTTCTTGTTCTGCTGAGAATTGACCTGCTGCAGTGGTCAGAATGTAGGAGTGTCTTCTGCTAGTTTCCAGCGATTTTTTTAAATTTATGAGAACAGACATCATTTCCTTCAGCCCCTCTCTGCTGGCTATCCTGCACTGTTATGTCATTTTCTAAATGACTGAGCAGATAATCTTCTGTGAGACATTCAACAATCTAACTGTGTAACCAACCAATAATAGATGATGATCAAAGTGGTCTGCAGTGACTACTCACTTAATTTTCAACTCCCAGCCCCTGTGGATATGAAAGAACAGTTGGCATTTTCCATTATGACACTGGAAACTCAGTCTGTGATGCAAACCATTGGTGGTGTAATGCAATTTGAGAGAACATATGTGTGTTATATTTGATTTCAGATTGACAAAACTCTGTGATGTATCAGAAACCAGTTTGGATCTATTTAGATGAATACGAGGGCTTTGTTTGCATTTTTAAATTAACCTGTCTTTGCAGAAACTGAAAGCTGATCTGGTGCCACATTGTAGTAAAATTTGCATAGTTACCAAACAAGATGCAAAGCTTTCCTTTAATAGGTATTCCCCACAGTCTCTGCTATTTGTTTACAAATTATTCAGTGGATAAGGGCCTCCATATGCATTAGCTGCAAACACCAACTTGTTTGATTTTAGATCTGGTTCCTGTGCAAACATCCAATTAACTGTTGGTGTTGTGATACAAACGCAGAAGGGATGACATGATCAAAACTCAAGTGGCGCCTTCACGAGTTGATCCTAATACAGGATGAAGATTTATATTTGCACATATGCTCTTATAGATACCCTGAATTTATAAATGTGCTTCATAATTTTTTTAACTGTTCTTGTAAAAAGTTACAGACCATGAGAGTTTTCAGTGATGCCAAGTGTACCAAAATTGTACATCTGTTCCTAATGAATGGTTTATGATTTTGCTGCAGCCAGTACAATAATAATCCTCCCCACCCCATCCTCGAATGATTTCATAAACTATTTTCCTGAGTTTCCATAAAGTTCTAAGACATTTTTGGATGAGGAAATTGGAAATTTTGTTCCTCATAAACAAACTCAGCTCCTGCAATTATTAGAGATAACA